TGATAATGAATTAATGGACACAAAACATGGGGATGACTTTGATAAGAAATGAAACATAAGCCCATGTTAAAATGTTTGCAACCACAAATACATTTTTTATATTTCATCCTGAATATAATATTAAAACAATGCATTCATAAAGAAAAACTATGCCTCTTGAGGCTAGGTTTTTAAGTTTATATTCAAAGAATGACACTTTTTAAAATTACAGTAATTCCTTAAACTGCTTTTATGGAGCTTTTCTAATGCAGCTATGGTACGTAGCTCCCTCCAAAGAGTTTCTAGGGTTTGTTTTTGTTGTTTGTTTCGTTTAGGGGCAATAGTCGGTGAAATTCAGTGAGAAATATGAGTGGTGGTCAGCAATGTGAGTTAGGGGTGGGTTCGGTTCTTGCGGTTCGGTTTTGACCTAAAACCAAATATAGAATCAAAGTAAAAAGTTCGGTTCGGTTTCGGTTCGGTTTTACACTCCAAAACTTGGAACCACGGTTTAATTGGTTCGGTTTTTTTCGATTCGGTTTCGGTTTTTTCGGTTTTTTACCAAAAAATTATCATTTGATTTAAAATTGATATAGTACTTTGAGGGATCAAACATATATTACATAAAGAATGCAAGCACACTACAACAAATAAAATAAAAATGAAAATAAATAAATATCTCATGAATTATATGAGTATGCGAGAGAGATAAAAGTATATATTATTAATTTACATGGTTTATGACTAGTTCAAAAAAAGTTCATGAGTATATACGTTATATGTGGTATAGTTGAGATAAATATTTATTGTTTCATCAATACGATTTTTTTAAGTTAAATAAAAATAAAAGTTAATTAATACTAATAACAAGTAAAAACATATTATTAGTATAGCTACATTATTACGTGCAATGAATGTGTAAATGAATTCATAAACTAAACTAAACATAACAAACATTATTTCTCTGGCACAAGAAAACCAAAAACTATTAATGATATTAGGATTAGTTAGGATTAATGCTTAACAATGGACAAATAAATTTTATATTTTAACTAGTTCGGTTTGTTCGGTTCGGTTCGGTTTTGAAGGGTAAAAACCAAAACCGAACCAAACAACTACGGTTCGGTTCGGTTTTTTACATTCGGTTTCGGTTTGTTAGCGGTTCGGTTTTATTTGGCTACGGTTCGGTATGATTTGATTCGGTTTTCGGTTTTCGATTTTTCGGACCCAGCCCTAATGTGAGTTACTATTTTTAGGGTGATAGGTGATTGCTTCATCTTTGATTGTTAAGTTCTGGATAGCACAGTGTATATGACTTCTCTAATCAAATTGGTTTAGCTTATTGTGGAACAAATGAAATGAGATTTTTACACGATGATTTTAGGTGGGGACTATTTTGTAAAGCTTACAATGAGTTGAAATAACTATTGTAACTTTATCCAGTTATTTTTGTATAGGGGTGGACTCAACCGGGGCGGCCCGGCCCGGAACCGGCCCGGCCCGGAACCGGCCCGGCCCGCTACTGTGCGGGCCCGGCCCGGCCCGGGTACCAAAAAAACGGTTCGGGCTTTGACCCGGCCCGGGGGGGTAGGGCGGTTCGGGTACGGTTCATCCAAAAGGCGGCCCGGCCCGGCCGGTTCGGGCCCGGTCCGGGCCCAACGGCTACAATTTTAAAAAAAAAAAATTCAGCCAAACAGGCCTTATGGCCGTTGCTTTTGAACCCAAACGGCTCTATAGCCGTTGGGAGCCTGGCAGGGGGTCCCGGGGTGGGTTGGGGGGTGGGGGGTGGGGGGGTGGGGTACTAAAAATCTATAAATACTCCATTTTTCCTATACAACTTACTACACATCTTATCCAAATATTCCTACTCTCTATTCTCTACTAATCTTCTCCATCTTCATCTTCTCAAATTTATAACTACATATATTATATTTATAAAATTTATTATCTACTTATATTAATATCTAATTATTATATTATTGTTACTTATATTTATTTACTTATATTTACATATTACATATATAATTATCTCTAATTTATTTACTTATATTTACATATTACATATACTTAATAAATACTTATATATATTAAACTATTATATATAAGTGTATTACTCATCTTATAGTAATATACTTATATTATATATACTATAAACATAATATTATATATTACTAGTTAATCTACTTATTATCTACTTATAAATATATATATATATATATATATATATATATATATATATATATATATATTAAGTATATCTACTTATACATTTATTATCTACTTATCCAATTGCTTATACACTCTCACACTCTAATTAATTTTGTTTACTTATATTTACATATTAAATATACTTAATAAATACTTATATATATTAAAGTATTATATATAAGTGTATTACTCATCTTATAGTAATATACTTATATTACATATACTATAAACATAATATTATATATTACTAGTTAATCTACTTATTATCTACTTATAAATATATATATATATTAAGTATATCTACTTATACACTTATTATCTACTTATCCAATTGCTTATACACTCTCACACTCCCATTAATTTTGTTTACACACTCATACATTTATGTAGTTAATTGTTTTACTCATCATTTATATTATTTGGATTTGACTGCACATTATATTGATGATGATTGGTGTATGCATAAACGTGTTCTTGCTTTTCGTGAATTTAATGATCGACACACCGGTGATAATATTTATATTCTCATTGAGCGTATTTTAATTGAGTATAATTTGATTGATAAGGTGTTTGCTATTGGTTTTGATAATGCTACTAATAATACTGCGGCTATTCCTAGATTGCGTGAATTGTGTGGTTCATCTTCTTTGATGGGTAGGTTTTTTCATCAGCGGTGTGCATGTCATATTTTAAATTTATGTGTAAAGGACGGGCTAGCGGCATTGGGAGATGCTATGGAGGTGGTGAAGGGGGGGATTAAACTTATTTGGGCTAGTAATCCACTTAAGATGCAATGGAGAAATTATTTGAAAGAAAGGCGTGTCAAATATTGTGCTTTTCCTAAAGATTTGTCTATTCGTTGGAATAGTACTTATAACTTAATTAAAGTGCTTATTAGATTTAAAAACCATTTTCCTGCTTTTTTAAAAGAATATGCTAACTATATTATAAACCCGGCCGACATCGACACTTGTGAAAAAATTGTGAATGTTTTGGTGTATTTTAATAATGCAACTGAAACTTTTAGTCATGTTTATAAACCTACCGCAAACCAATTTTTTGTTGAAGCTGTTAATCTCGCCGGTGCTTTTTCTGAATTTTCTGATGCCGCTTACGTTAGTTATTTTTGTGACTTCATGAAACAAAAGTTTTTAAAATATTATTCCTATATTCCGCATATATATAGTATTGCTTTTATTCTTGATCCTCGTTTTAGACTTGCTTCTTTGGAGCAATGTTTAGATTACTATTATGCTTCTTTTTTTGGTCCATTGCCTATGTACGACGACAAGGCCATAGACCCTAAACAACAATTCCAAGAGGTAAGTAATTTATTATATCAATTATTTAATGAGTTTCATGCACAATATGGTAATGCACCCCCTCCCCCGCCACGCACATCTTCTTCATCTAAAGGAAAATCAATTTTCAAATCTGCATTTGGCAATCTTATGAAAAAAAGTAAATCAAATCCGGTTAATGAACAAAGCTCGATCAACGAGCTTTCTTTGTATCTAACATTTCCTGTTGAGTATGAAGAAGGGGATGACTTTGACGTTCTCAAGTGGTGGAAGGAAAAAGAGAGAACGTTCCCGATCTTATCAAAGATGGCTAAGCAAGTGCTAGCAATGCCGGTATCAACAGTTGCTGTGGAACAAGAGTTTAGTGCGGCCGGCAACGTCCTAACGGATTATAGAACGAGATTGAGCGCAAACTCTCTTGAGACGCTTGTTTGCTTCCACGATTGGTTGAAGGCCAAACGTAGAACTCAAGAAGTTAGCATTGAACCCACCCGCCACTTTATGGAAGAAACAACCGAAGATGGCGGAAATTCCGATTGATTCTTATTTATTATAAAGTGTATTTCATGTTTTAATTTTTGGTGAATTTTCAATTGTACTACAGATTTCAAATAAATATATTTTAACTTTTTTATGTCCATTTGTACTACATCTTAATTTAAACCAAAAAAAAAAAAAAAAAAAAAAAAAAAAAAAATTGCCCGGCCAGGCCCGGCCCGGCCCGCTACCCGGCCGGGTAGGCCCGACCCGGACCGGACCCGGTATAACCCCGGGCCGGTTCCGGGCCCATCTGTCTAAAAAAAAAAGCCCGGCCGGGCCCGGCCCGGAACCGGAACCGGCCCGGCCCGGGTCCATCCCTATTTTTGTATGATGGATTGATGGGTAAAGACAAGAATCATAGATGCAAAATTCACTCATTTTATTATACACGATTAAATCAACAATGATTGAGGATAACAATATTTTAATAGATTCCAATTAAGGATATTTAAATTGTGGTGAAATTCTAAATTCCATAACAATACATGAGAATCCATATTAGGTACATCACCTAAAGCGTATAGTTAAATCGAAGAGATTGTTTTGTGAAATTGTGACAATAGAGCCTACATGACCTACGAATATGAATATACTAGTATTCAATTTGGTAAATCTCTTGCCCTAATAACACTAGTCCTCTCCTAAAATAAGTGTCTTATTTTACTTTTCAACCGATTTATTAATAATCATGTTAAAGCAAAACAAGACACATAAAATGAGACAGATGCACTACCACTTCTGCTCTCTTTGCAGAAGCACATATTGTAATATTTGGATGAAAGAGTAGAAATACTTTTAAGTGTTACAAATTGCTCATAGAAGCGGTTTTTAGAAGCTTAGAAAAACCAGTTTCTAAAAAACTGATTTTGAAAAACTGATTCTTTATGTATTTATGCTTTTAAAACAAGAAAATGTTATTCCTTCTAATAATTGTTATCATATTTCACTATTTCAGTAACCATTTTCACAATTTCACCACCATTTAGTTTCTAATTTGGTGAAACTATTTGATAAAGAATGTATTTGAAGGAACTGGGAAACCAGATTCCCCGCACGTGGAAATTCACAATATAGGTAGGAGGATATATCCTGGTAAAAGAAAAGAAAAACACCGAGTAACATATAACATGCAATATCCAGGGTACTAAAATCATAAAGTTACACAGTTACACCCCATCTTTGCATCTATTTATTCATATGATTAAAAAGAATGCAGCTTTAGGCTCACATTAAAGTTTCCTTACAGCCACCTTTAAGTCGTGAGGTGAGGATTCATAGAGATGGACTGCGGCCATCTAATGTCAGAAGCACCTTATATAAGTCCGGGCGGCGATCACGAAACACCCCCCAGCTCTGTCTTTTGCTTTTGATCATCGCAAGATCAAACTCTGCTACAAGAACTGCTTCCTGCTTATCGCCTGCCAGTTCCACAATTTCACCTGTCGGACCTAATCAACGAAATAGATGTGATCAATCAAGCAAAGGCTTACATCAAATCTCAAACTCACCTCCACTATTTGCAACCTGCCGTTTACAATTTGGTAAGAATAAACTTCTAGTGTAACACATAAGTAATCGAGTGTACTTGTTTGGCGACATTTTGGACTAAAAGATTTGAACTAGCCCTAATGCTATAGAAGGAAATAAAAGTATAAAAACATTAGAAAGATATAAATTTAAAACCATTTAAAACTTTCAAAGGTTAGAATATAACTGGTTATTACAAGGTATTAAGCTACACTTTATGTCCATGACTTGAAAATTGTGCCTAGAAGAATGTAAATAACATGTGCCTAAGCCAATGCTATTTACCAAAAGTCAACGCTCATAGAGTTTAAATAAAGATTTAGCCAATGTGTACACAATCTCCTTGACAGGGTCTTATACTCTTAACATTTTAAGAGGGCAGTCCAGTACACACTGGACAGGGACTAGATATGTTAGGTGCTCTTTTTCAAGTCATCAAGTTTTCTTTATTGAAAGCACCTTAGGGTTAACTAAATATGAGGAATTATTTAGTTCTTCAAGAATTTCATTACTAAATCCAAGCTTTATGTGACAAATAAGAAAATAGACTCGCTGTTGGCTAGTATATATAATAACTTTAAAATTTAATTTCATGTATAATGGATTAATGGTATCAAACTATCAGCTGAACCATTACCTGCTTGCTTTGGAATATATAAATTATTACCGTAATTCAGATATAAATAATAGACTCTCTTTTTATGCAAAGAAAAGTTCATAATTCAAGGATTTCAGCCATAGTTAAACAACTTTAGTCAAACAGGGTTGCCTGTTCAATATTGTATTAGGGAGTAACTTCAAGAATAATGACATATTATAAACTTACTTTTTGTTTATACTTCAATATATAAATACATAACAATTTTTATACTACAACACACCTTTCAAAGAGACCGAATAAAACATTGGTCAGACGTTTAAGAAAACTTTAAGAGATTGACTTAGGGGCAGTCACTTAAGCATGAGTCATATACTGTTTGATGCACAAGATTATTATACTCGGGTGTCGATCATTAAAGATAGTTTACTGCCTTCTAAAAACCAAAACTCACATAAAACGATTTAATAGTTGTAAAAGTTCTATTTTACAACTATTAAATCGTTTTAATTCCTTTTGAATTGATCGTCTCTCGCTTCTCTCTAGGGCTTCGGCCGCTTGGAGTTTTTTTCCGTCTTCGATTTTAATCGAAGGACGGCCGCTTTTTCCGTCTTTGATTTTAATCGAAGGACGACCGCTATTTCTGTCTTTGATTTTAATCGAAGGACGGCTGCTGTTGTTTGTGCTTCATACTCGAAGGGCGGATTTGCTGTCATGGCTCGAGGAGATCGGCGTTGTGGTCAAGGTTCGAGGATGATGTATTGCTGTCGTCGTTGGAGAAGATCGGCGCCGCCTATCCGTTTACTCTTGTTGCATGAAGCAGGGACGAGTTTGGTTATGCAGGGACGAAGGATTGATGCATGGCCTTTGGCAGATAAAGGTCACGGAGTATCAATTAGCATGGTACCGGTGGTAAGACCTCCTCCTGAACCACCACCATGGGATGTACGAGGTGCTAGAGTTCGTGAACGTTTTTCTTATAGTTTTTATCTGTTTGTTATTTGTTTTCTTGTGTCCACTTTTGTTGTTGGTTTTGACAGTTTGTTTGAGTTTTTTGCCTCTCTTTATGTCATTGGGTATGGTTGGATCTATGGGAATAGGTTTGGCTGTGTCAAGCCCACTACATGGTTAGCGGTTCGTGTTGCTCTCTCAGGGGTGACCGTCTCAAAGTCTCACCATAGGGTTACAGTCGTAGTTGTTGAAGTTTCAGTTGGTGTCAATTTTATTTTCCTTTTGCTTGATGTAATGATCCTGAATCTTTTGATATGAATAGAGGCCCGTTTGATGATTAAAAAAAAATCCTTTTGAATTGTTGGGACTCAGGTCTAGTTTAAGTCAACTAGTTCAAAATGCCGCCAAACAAATACACTTGGCTAAAATGTTCAACCGGAAGTATATTGTAACCAAAGCGTAAACAACACGTTGCAGATAATGGAGTTAACAATCAGAAATATCTTTCACTTAGTTTAAACCAACATACAATTTCTATTGAAATATTTAATGTGCCCTCCATTTGGTAGAAAAGCTCCTGTTTTTTTCCTATCAACCTCACCAATTAGATGTTTTATTAAATACTCTATTGCATTTGATTATTTGACAGCAAAGGTTGAGTCGGCTAATTATACAAAAAGTGGTGCATGAGTTACCTTTTTAATTGAAATCAAAGGAATAGACACTTTAAGCTTATTTTGGGAAATGAAAGTAGCGCATTTGATTATCCTTTTATAAAGCCTTTCTAAGAAATTCAGCATATTTAGTTAACACAGCAATTTCACAGATTTTAGCTCAATTTATCATTTACCAATCAGTCTTAAGGACTTAAACTAAACGGGAAGTCCAGTGCACAAAGCATCTCTGCTAAGTGACTGTACCGGAAACCATATCTTAAACTACATCTTTATTAAAGTACATACCTGCTATAAAGGAGTTTCCATAAAATGTAATTTCACTCTTCCCGTGTTCAGTCTGAATTACTTCCTTCCCTATACGGTTTGAGGCTACAAGAGGTACCTTGACTCATAATTCTATATCAGGCCTTCAGAAGTGGTACAGAGTGTATATTTTCGAATGCTTTTATTTAAAGAACGTAACAAAAAGATAAATAGCTTATTTCAGACTAATTTAAAATATTATACCAAGTTTGCTCCAGCATGGCCTTGCATCACTCGTTTCCAATGTTCTCGGGAATCAAGTCCACCATCTTGAGGTTCAGAACCAATTGCGGTTGGGTAAAACAGTATTTCTGCACCTTGAAGAGCCATGGCTCTAGCAGCCTCTGGAAACCACTGATCCCAGCAAATAGCTACATCATGCAACATCAGATTATTTTCTGGTCTGCGGGGTGGGGGTTAAGTCTACCTTTTACTTATAAAAAAATGTTACGACACAGTTTATGTATCACTAGCTGCAGAGCCAAGTTACACCTATAATATTTAATACTTTCCTTGGAGAATTTATTCTGTAAGAGTGGATGATGTAAGGGACACCAACACTAAATATGGTTTCACAAAATTGTTGTAAATAATACCCCTCCATCCAGCAACAAAGTTCCCACTTTGACTCGCACACAATTTTATGCAAAAGCAAAAAGTCACAAGACCTTCCCTAAATACCCTTTATGTCAAATCAAGTAAAAAGTACTACGTATTAAGTAACGGTGATAATGAAAATAGCCTAATTAAAAGGTCACAAGAACTTCCCTGACTACTCTTACTTTATGCCAAATAATGATCTTAAAGAGTTTTCTTTTATGGAAGTGAGAGCTTTATTTTGGGAAATCCGAAAAAGTAAAGTGGGAACTTGTATTCGGGACGGAGATAATATTTAGGATGAAGATGTGATAGATTCTCACCGACTCCTATTTTCGCAAACTTCGTCTCGAAGACCTGTACATCATACGTGCAAAAGAATATTCAGAACTGCAGATGCTGGAAACTCATACAATCACAAGCAAACAAACTTAAAGCTGATGAACCAGCTTGAGCAACATTTATTTACCTTAAAGCCTGTGTCGCCTGGATTAAAGTAAAATTTTTCCTGGTAACCTGCACAAAATAAAAATGAAGAAATTGTATATCCATTTTTCTACATAGTTCACTGAACATTTTAATCCCACTCTCCTACCAAACTTACCAGGACCATCTGGAATATGGGACTTTCTGTAAAGTCCAAGATCAGTGCCATCAGCATCAATAACAGCTACGGAATTGTAATGGGCATTATTGGCTTCCTCAAAGAAGCTAACTGGAATTACTACTCCTAATTCTTTTGCAAGCTCCTGCATCCTGCAAATTATGCAAACAGAAGCCATACTTTTATCCAAAATAAATAATCAAGATGTAAAAATATGGGATGTCTTGGTTCATTTGAAGCAACAGTTGAGGAATGCTATGGCAACAGAATCATCAAAGTACAAAACGAAAGAAAGTGATTTTTCACCTGAGAATTGTAGGGTGGCCCTTGTATGGTTTTGCTCGCTGAAAGAAGTCTTCCTTTTGGGCTTGACAAAAGTAATACCCCTCAAACAACTCCTGAAACAGAAACAATAGTTCAAAAGTTCACACATAGAAATTAATTTTTTGAATTTTTAAAAAATACAGATAAACACACGAAATGATTACACTGCCGTTGTCTGAGAACAGATATAAATTGTAAATGAACTTAAGAACATGTCCCTTTCAATGATAAGAACCCAAGCTTTAATCCCAAATCATTTAAAATTTGAAAGCTTTGACTTTTATTTACAAACCTGTATGAGAATGATATTCGCACCTTTCTCATGAGCTGCTATAATCAACCTGTGTTAAAGACCCACAGAAATGCAACCATCAATAATATATTCCGTAGTTCGAAAAGAGATGAACTGTCCGTCTGTCCAAGCAGAGCTGCTTCGCTATAAAACGCCAGCCCTAAATTATTCATCCATCGGATCAGAAGGAGGAGTGGATCATACCTTTCGGCAGTGGTGACGTTGGTGGCGACGTCGTCAGTGCAGGCGAATTGCAGCGCTGCAACGGTTACAAGTCTCTTGCCCTCAGCCATCATCCGCCGGTAAACTCTAGCGTCCGAGAATCTCTTCCAGCTCGGACAGCTGCAGTCAAAGGCTCAAAGGTGAAAATGATTATAATCGTCTGACGGAATTGAGGCCTTCCTGCACAGGGAGTATGTGATTGAAGCATCAAACGAAGTGTTACTCCGTATAAATTATTGATATTGGATTTTCTGAAATGAGTCAAATAGTATCGGATTATTAGTCAAATAAGTCTGCGAATGTGACTAATTTAGGGGTCTAACACCTGCCATGAAGAGTGTTTGGATCTTGTTAAAACTTTTTCTACAAAAGGAGAAGCCTAAATTTGAGTGTTTGAGTGAGAGTGGAAACATGATTCTCGTGTTCTAATTTACTCATATAATCAGTTTGTTTAGAAGTTGGGGGAAACCAACTTTTGAAAACTTATTCTGCTTCTGCTTTAAAAGAGAAGCAGAAGCAGAATGAGTTCCAAACATCTCACCCCCTATATACTCCATACACAAAAGTAATGAATAATGCAGAAAAAGTAGGACAAAAAATCACAAAAATAAGTAAGAAAAATTAAGGCTAATTGAGTATTTTTAAAGAAAACATTTACCAAAAGTGGAAGATGTGGTAGCAAACTTTTAAATACAGCCCAAATAGGAAAGGATAGCAAACTTTTAAATTCATAGGGAATAGAAATAGGAGATATAGAGGGTTGTTCCAGTACATATGGATGTACAGGAAGCTCCGTACGAACAAAGCCATTAGAGGTCCTTTTTCCGGTGGAATTTTTTTATGAAAGTTTTTGGGCATGTTATTCATCAAGTCTAGTTTATCCATACCAAATTTCAGCTCAAAATTTTGAGCTGAAAATTGGTATGGATAAACTAGACTAGATGAAGAACATGCTCAAAAAATTTCATCGAAAGGGTCTCTAATGGTTTTGTCCGTACGGAACTTCCTGTACATCCAAAGGTACAGGAACAACCCTCTAGTAATAGAGACTGAAGATGATGTATTAAATATGGATTACGGTTGATTTTCTTTCATTTTCTATGCATAATACTCCCTCCGTCCCATAATTATCTTCATTCTTTCCTTTTTGGTCCGTCCCAAATTTATCTTCTCTTTCCCTTTTTAGCAAAGGATTTGTGGTTCACAACCATTCTTACACATTTCTCTCTCCTCTGCACAACTCTCCACCACACATTTCCCACTTTCTTAATCTCCGTGCCCAGTCAAAACCGAAGTTAATTCTGGGACGGAGGGAGTAATTATTTACCAAATTTAAAGTCTCTTGGGTAACACGGAATCTGATGAAGTTTATAAAAGGGAGACTACCATTAATAGGACTAAAAACGTTCGTATATTCTAAAATAGGACTGTCATGTTTGCTTTCCCAAAATAGGACTAGTTATTGTCATGTTTTGTCGATACCATACTTTAAACACGGCAGTAATTACTCTTATTCTGGGAATAAAAACATGACAATCATATTTTGGAATTTTTCCTTTATAAAATTTTGAACTATGAGAAAATATATTTATAATAAATTTAATAAAAAAATTAATATAATAGTAATTTTAATCAATTCAACTAGAAAATAAATTACTCCGTATAATTTTATTTATTTTTGTTATGATAAAAAAATCATGTACTTTGATAAAAAGTTTATTGATAAGACTCATCATCTCAAAATAAATGTTACAAAAGCCAATCCTGGAAATAAATATTTTTAACAAGAAAATTAATAAAGGAGTATGAAAGGAGGATAATATTTTTAAGAGAGTTAAATTCTGAAGCTGTAACTATTAATCCGATTATAACTGATGCACGAACTCCACAGAGTACGCACACGATCTCAGCTCCAGAGTTACTAAGAGAGCACAGAACTGAGATGAGTAGACAGTCTCCGCCGCGGACACGATCTCAACTCCACCGCACACCGCCGGAATCCTCTGTCACAGCAAGTCCGCCGGTAAGTTCTACATGCTCCTACGATGTTTCATTTTCTTAGCGATCAATTTTGTGTATCCAATTATTTTTAAATTCGTTAATGTTTTAACATCATTGGAATTGGAACTAAATTACGAAATTAAATATATTGATTTTTAGTTTAGTGAAAATTTATTAATTTATTGTATGATCCGGAAGGTGAGATCGCCATGGAAAATATTTTAAAAAGAAGAACGGGCTTGTTTGGGATTCAACTAAACAACTATACATGGTAGAGATTCAAACTCTCAATTTTTTAAAATCAAACTCCCAAATCGGATTAGGCTCGCAAGTTTCAGTCCATAATAAGAGTTTTGTGGAGTGGATAGATGCAGAGCTTTTCTTTTAATTTGTTTGGGGAGTGCCCGCGAGCTGGGGCTTATTAACCAATTTTTTCACCAAAAGTCGGACTGTATTTTAGAGTATCATTTTAGTGGTTTTTGCATATAATTTTTTCTTTAAAATATTCATAAAATATATTTTAAATATACTCCCTCCGTCCCGTTGGAATGTTCCCGGTTTGACCTACACATATTATATTAAGGAAATAAACTTATCAGGGGTAAATTTTACTGTTTTGACACTGTTTGGACACTTTTTGGCACTGCTTTGCACTGTTTGACACTGTTTTGATGTAGGATAACTTTCCATTTAGGAAAATAGGAACTTCTTTTTGGGACATCCAAAAAAGGAAAGCGGGAACATTCCAACGGGACGGAGGGAGTAATATTTTCATAAATCATCAGAACCAGTCAATGCAGCTACTTAAGCCAGAAATTCATAAATTCAGCAGAATTAGCCAAAACAGCCGATTTGGGTATTACCAAACGGGCTCTAATACTTCAGCAGCTTTGATTTTCTTTTTTTTTTTTTCTTTTTTATGGAATTCCCTGATGGGAAATTGTTTCCTTTTAAAAATCTGTAATGAATTTTCATTTTCATGGAACTTCTTAGTAACAATGCAATATCTCACAACGTAATGCTTTTTTCACATGTAGTGTGTACATTTTATATTTAATTATGTACTAATTTAATAACTTATGAAGTATGGAGTATAAATTTCAACATATATTTATTGTATCAATTACTGGATTATCAAAAATTGAATTTAAAAATTATGTGCATATATATAAATTAAATGAAAAACAGGTGTACATATTTGAAAAAGTATTTATAATATATCCTTATATTTTAAATAATATTCACTTATTTCCCCTACATTTCTTATTTTTTTTTGAAATCATTTTTTTTCACGTTTTACATTACGTTTAGCATGCTATTTAACCGGCTAGTAAAATATCTAGTCTGCCCTATTCACAAATCACGACTACCAAAGGGATAGAATTTATTTCAGAAATTGCCCTAATTAAGAGAAAAAACGTTTGTATATTGCAAAATATGACTGCTATGTTTTTATTCTCTAAATAGGTGTAATTACTATTACATGAAAGTATTAGACTATAAACATGAAAGTAATTACTTCTATTTATTTAAAGAATAAAAACATGACAATTCTATTTTGGAATGTCAAAACATTTTTACTCATATTTTGGGAATTTTCCTTGATTAACACACTCCGACCAGAAACAACTAATTATCATAGTGGGAAACCTACCAACACTTTTTGACATTTCAAATGCCTAAGAGCATCTCCAATGCTACAATGTGTACGGTGTACATGTGGCATGTGAGATAGCCACATGAATATGAGTAAATAAATTATATCTCTCCTTATTTGAATGAATTATTACAATTTTGGTAAGTTTTTCTCTGCAATGTCAAGGAGACCGTCTAGATGTAGACATTGTGGTTGACATTGTCATGAAAAAGTTACCAAAATTATATAAAATCATTCAATCAAGGAAAGAAATAATTTATTTATTAATATTTGTGTGATTATTTCTCATGCCACATGTGCACCGTGCACATTATAGCATTGAAGATGCTCTAAGCTTATAAACAACAACCTTATAACCTTATTAACTTGTAAACACCAACCTTTTTAACTTATGAACTTTATATATGCAGCCATTCAGACCTACTACTAGATCCATGTCCCTGAAGCGCAAGTACGAAGTCGGTCAACCCTCTACCGTCAAGAGGAGAGCTCAAGCAGTCACTTCTATGAGTAACTGCCTAAACTCAACTTTTCTTTTGCCTCACGTCTATGACGTGCCAGTTATGATGTTGTTATTAAAATGATAAAGGAAAACTAGTGGCAGCCCTAGGGGAGGGCAAGAGGGGACTTGCCCTAAGCAAAAGAAAACAAAAAAGAACTCTGAATATTTATGAGTATGTTCTATTTTCAAATTTAGACTTAGGTCTTTATTACTACCTCCTCCCCCCTAAGTTTGGTACATTGAGAAGAGGTGCGGTTATTAAAATAAGTGTCCTATTTCCTTTCTTGGAAATAAATACGAAGTATATGGTCTACAACAATTTTCTTTATTATACTAACTTCAACCACGACTTTTTATTTTCAACTATTTAATTTATGGTTATGCCAAACCGAAACAAGGCATATAAAATGTTACGGAGCTAGTATTTTTGAGACAAAACATGTGTTAATACAAAAGTTATATTTAACTCTTTTGGAAACTCAATTAGATACAAAGGCTCCACGCTCAAGAGCAGCTCAAAATGAGATCAAGAAACAATCGCCCCTTCATAGTGCTTCTACTGATGTTAACATTAAGTCACAGAACAGTGGTGGCAGTCAACACTCAAACTTCCTCTGCGGCATTTGCTTCAACTACAAACCACTCTTTCATATGTTGAATTTTGACGAGTGTAACCACGCCTTCTGTTTTGTATGCATGGCAAAGCATGTGACCTCCCAATTAAACCAAAACATTGTGAAGGTCACCTGTCCACACCCTAATTGTCCCATGGAGCAAACCCCCATATCTGTGTTCCTCATTTTTGTCAAGAAAGTGATTGAATTGGGGACAGCTTTATGCGAGTCAACAAATTCCCTGAAGCACAAGTACGAAGTCGGACAACCTTCTACCGCCAAGAGGAGAGCTCAACCAATAGCTTCTATTGGTAACTACCTAAACTCAACTTATCTTTTGCCTCATTCTTCTTTTCTGTTTGAAGGAATCTTGACGCACTATTTATATTGTTGTTTTCAAAATGATAAAGGTTAGTGCTGGCCATAGGGGAGGGCAAGAGGGGCACTTGCCCAAAGCAAAAGAAAATTGATTTTTTTAGTATGTTCTATTTTCATTTTTAGACTCAAGCCCTTACTACTACCTCCCCCCCCCCCCTAAATTTGGTACATGAAGAGGTGGTGCAATTATTAAGAAAAGTGAGTTTATGTGGTTGGTATTGAAACAATAAAGTAAGAATGATTTAGAACAACACAAACATTATCAAATAATTTGGTATGAAAAAATCTTAATGAGGCGTCCTGAAATGAAAAAATGGGACAATTCTAGCGGGGCGGAGGGAGTCCTTTAAGTATTTTTGAGATAAAACATGCTGATACAAAAGTTATATTTAAACTCTTTTGGAAACTCAATTAGATGCAAAGGCTCCACGCTCAGCAGCTCAAAATCAGATGAAGAATAAACAACCGCCCCTTCATGTTGCGTCTACTGATGTTAACATTAAGTCACAGGACATTGGTGGCAGCCACTCAAACTTCCTCTGCGGTATTTGTTTTGACTACAAACCACTCTCTGATACGTTTAAAAACGAAAAGTGTAACCACGCCTTCTGTTCTGGATGCATGGCAAAGTACGTGACAACCCAAATAGACCAAAACATTGTCAAGGTCACCTGTCCACACCCTAATTGTTCCTTCGAACAGAACCCCCAATCTTTGCACCCCATTTTGCCCCGGAAAGTGATTGACAAGTGGGACACGGCTATATGCGAGTCAACGGTTTCGGCGTCTCATAAGACTTACTGCCCCTTTAAGGACTGTTCAGTTTTGTTAGTCAAAGACAGGGGAGAAGTTGTGACTCGCTGTGAGTGCCCCTCTTGTCATAGGCTGTTTTGTGCACAGTGTAGGGTTCCTTGGCATGCAAGGGTTACCAGCTGTGAGGAATACCAAAGGATGCAGAAAAGGACTTATGTTGATCAAGATCTGGATAACAAGTTCTTTAAGTTGGCCAAGGATAGAAATTGGCGAAAATGTCCGTATTGCAATATGTTTGTGCAGAGAGATGGAGGATGTGAACACATGGCTTGCAGGTCGTAATGCATGCAACTTCTTATATGAGTGAATATATAGTTTTGAATTGGAAGTGGTTTTAATACATTAGCTCTGATTATGGCTTTGTAGGTGTGGAGGTGACTTCTGCTATCATTGTGGGAAGAATTGGACGTTTGGACATATTTGTGAGAAGCGTTATTCCACCTGAAGAAGTGTTGGGTGTTAGGGGAGACAAAATGGAGATTCTGAGTTTCAATATTGGCATCAGTTGTGTTTATTGTTCATTTCTGTCCATGCTATTAGGTTACTTCAATGCCTTGTTTTCAACTATGAATTTCTTGTCAATGTTTGTCCTTCCCATTATTTATGTTTTGTGAGACTTGAAATGAAGATACTAATTTTAGAAAACGCTTGAGGTATATATGGGTGGAGCTAGGGGCCTTTATTATTAGGACCAGACTCATAATTAAAAAGAAAGTACAGAGTATTTTATATCGCAAAGAGATAGTGTAAAGAATACATTGAAAAAATATTTTTAGAAGGTAAAAAACTATTTTGGAACAACCGTGTTGCTCGTATTCGCAAATTATACTTTGGATTGACAATCGACATGTGCTGAGTCACTGAGTTGTTAAATTTATCATATGTATGACTTTTTTTTTTACTGAGGGAGGGGGCTAGGGGCCTGGATTAATCAGGGTTGAAACTTTTAGTTTCAAACCCGAAACCTTCCATAAGGGAGAGTGGGTTGGCGAACAGTTGAGCTGAACCGCTTTGACTATTTATTAAGGAATCAGTATGAAAGTAACTATTACACCCCTGGCATTATATGAAGTATTAGTTTTAAAATAATTATTCTCATCAAAGTATTATATGTCATTTCCCATTTTAAAAAGTTTTATGTGACTAAGATTTATTTACTTTTTTTGTTATTTAACTGTAATGATGCATTTTCACTTTATTTCTAATTTTTTAATTGCTTCCCAATGTAGACAGGAGCATTGGGTAAATGAGGCTGAAACTGCCTCAATAAAGTGCTGAGTTGTGCACTCCCACTTTAGTAGTCAATCGACATGACTATTTAATAAATAGTCATACGTATGATATAGATTTTTTTTTCTTTTTTAATTAATTGATGAGTAAAAAATAAAGAACACAAATTCCAATGATAAAGATTAAAGAAGATGAATGGTTCTATTAATAATCCCCTCTTCAACCCTTTGATTCCTCCAAAGCGTTCCACCAATTATTAAACTATAATAGTTAATCCACCGAATGGCGAGTGAAGTATTTAAACTGAAATTTATGAAATTATGGTTGAAGTGGTAAAATTGTTTGAAATCTCTTGAACCGTGGAAAAATATATTTAACAAATACTCCGTATTTTACTATTAAAATTAAGAAAAAAATTGCATGAAAATAAATAAAATGATCATCTACATCAATTTCAATCAATTAGGATATAGAAGAACTCAAAACTAACTTCTTCTTCTTTTTCTTATTATTATTACATAATGCACACCAAATCAAAAAATTATGTGCTTGATAAAAAAAGTCTAACAATAAGATCGATAAGCTGAAAGTAAGGTTTACCCGAAATCAAAGCAATAAAAATTTTATCTAGAAATTTAGAGCCCGTTTAGTAATACTGAAATCAAATGAATCAGCTGATCCCGCTGAAATTTATGAAATTCTGGCTTAAGTGGTTGTATTGACTGATTCTGCTAATTTATGAAAAAAATAAATTTAAAATATATTTTATTAATAAAATAAAGAAAAAATTATATGTAAAAATAACTAAAATGTTTCTCTACAGTAACTTCAACTGAAACAACCAAAAAAGTAACTTCAACCTTATTTTTTCTTATTATTACACATTTTAGTGCACGACATCAAAAGTTGCGTGTTTGGCGAAAAAAATTGACTAATAAACCTGATAAGCTTTAATTAATGAGTAGGAAAGGAGGGAATAATTTTTTGAGAATTAAAATCTGAAGCTCTAACTAATAATTAAGTCGATTATAACTGATGCACTAACTTAGGCTCTGTGTGCAATCACTTGTGTTTAAATAAAAGCACTTTTTGGAAAAAAAATTATTAGTAGTAAAAGTTGGTAGTGTTTGGTAAAATAAGTGTTTTTTGTATAATAGAAAAAGAAAAAAGTAGATTCTACACGAAAACTAAAAAGTAAAAGTTGATAACATTTGATAAAATTAATGTTTTTTTCTTTAAAAAAAAACCACAATCACTTATTTGAAGTGATTACAAACAGAGCCTACTTTTGCAAAAGGAAGTACGCAATCAACGTGGCCACGATCTGAACTCCATAGTTATTAAGAGAGAACTCAGATGAGTAGACAGTCTCCACCGCGGACACGATCTCAACTCCACCGCACACCGCCGGAAGCCGTCGTCACAGCAAGTCCGCCGGTAAGTTGTACATGCTCGTACGTTGTTTCATTTTCTTAGCGATCAGTTTTCGGTATCCAAATATTTTTTTAATTCGTCAATATTTTAACATTATTTGAGCTAAATTGCGAAATTAATTCAGTGTTTTTTAATTTTGGAAGAGTTAATAATTTATTGAATTATTGTATGTTCGATCTGGAAGGTTAATTAGATCGCCAGGGAAAATATTTTAAAACGAAGAACTGGCGTGTTTGGGAAAATATTACTCCGTATATGGTAGGGAATTATCTTTCTTGAATTGTTTGAGATTCAACTTTATTTTTATGGTAAAATATTAAGAGCATCTCCAATATTTGAATGATTTTATAGAGAAAGCCACATTATTTTATGATTTTATTGGTACACATGTGGCATGAGAGATAAATATTTGAAAGATTACTTGGTAAGTTTTTCTCCATAATGTCAAGAAAACCGTCTAAATGTGAACATTGCAGTTGACATTGCAGGAAAAAACATACCAAAATTGTATAAAATCATTCAAATAAGGAGAGAAATAATTTATTTGCTAATATAGTGTGGTTATCTCTCATGCCACATGTTCACCGTGCACATTCTAGCATTGGAGATGCTCTAACTATGTAATTTGAAATTACAAAATTATTATTTTTTGAAGCACTTCAAATTCATAAATATGACTTTTAGTCTTATTGCGAAATTTCAAACATATTTTATTTAAACTTATTAAAATTAAATTCATCACTTTGTAATATTGAGCTATTTATCATCATACGATATACGGAGTATGTAATTTTATAGTACATAGAATATAAAAAATAATGGTTGTATTACATCCTAATACAAATGTGAACACTTTTCTCAAAAGAATCATAAATACTCTGTACGGAGTATGTAGTAAAATTTTGAGGAAAAAAAAAGATTATATTAAAAATATTAAATTATGATATAAAAATAATATAAGGGGGAATTGGACACAACTACATTTAAATTTTCGAATTTTCATATTTATAGTTTATTTTATGTGTATTTTAAAATTATTTTATTTATTTAAAGTCAATAAAAATAAATTTGTTTATTATAGGAACATCAAGGGTAAGTTCACACATTTTAGAAGTTGTATCTGGGCGTTACATTCAATTCCACTACTCCATACATATAGTTTAGGAGTATATTTGCATCTTTCTCGTTTTTAGAAATCACGTTTCTCACGTTTCATGTTTAATGAGCTTCTTTAGGAGTAAAGAATATCGTGTGTGAGACCTATTCACTAATCACAATTACCAAAGAGATTGAAGTTATTTGAACCGTTATCCTTGACACACAATTAAACCAGCAACAATTACTCCATAATTATCACCGAGTGAAACATAGCAAGTTAGCAACACGTGAGAAACGTATACTATGTACAACCTTAATTACTAACGTATGAAGTATATATATGCAGTTAGTGAGACCTACCACTAGATCCATGTCCCTGAAGCGCAAGTACGACGTGGGCCAACCCTCTAATGTCAACAGGAGAGTTCAACGAATCACTTCTATCGGTAACTATCTAAGCGACTGTTTGTCTTTGATTCTACACAAAAGAAGCAATTTTTTAAAGTTATTTTCGAGAAAAAAAATAAAAGCTGATACTGTTTAGTATCTAAACATGGAGTAAGTGTTTTTTGTGTAATATAAAAAGTAAAAAACAGTTAAAAACGCCCATTTCAGCTTTGTTCAAGTTAAAAGCTAAAAACCACGACCCTAGGGGAGGGCGAGAGGCAAGACGGTCTGATGATTTTGAGTGACTCTGTTAAGAATATTTATTTGAGGCTCATATTATAAATAAATGTAAAACTACATTGTACAAAGAAAATTAAATTTAACAATAAGGGAAAAATAATTAAAATATCTCAAACTTTGAAGGGGTGTGAGATAAACACCCCAAACTTGCATATGCACTTTAAATACCCTAAACTTTATATAGAAAACTCTAATTTTCTATTTTAAATTATGCAATTAACCCCATAAATTTACATTTTGAAAGAAATAATACATGAAAATGGTGCGAAAATAACTTTTTATATAAAGTTTGGGGTATTTAAATTACATATGCAAGTTTGGGGTGTTTACTTCACACCCCATCAAAGTTTGGGGTATTTTTATTATTTTTCCCAAACAATAACAATGAGTTCAAAATATTACTTTATTAATGTCAATAGATGAAAATTTGATCATTATACATTTGAGTTTAATTTTATGGGGATACCGATGACTTTTTAACTTTAGAAATGAAAAAAAAAATGGTGAGGGAAACTAACAAGTTATTTTGATGAATTGAGCAAAATTGAATTATAGTGATCGAATTTAGACACCTTAACAATGATACTTACAATTTTCCAAATATTCTACATTATACGTAGTATATATTTTCCGTAGTTTAAATCATACTGGTCCTTATTATACTAGCATTACTACTAAACTCGGGGTGGATGAGGGCGTGCAAGAAGTACTACCACAAAAGGCTTCTCAATTTAGAAGGCCCAAAATTTTAAATATAGTCTACATATATGCGAAATCCTTATTTATTTGATTGAAGGCATATCGTATCAGGCCGGTCTGAAGGAAACGGCCGTTAGGCCGAGGCCATTTGGGGACCTTCCCGATGTAATTTTTTATTGAACATTTTTGAGCATATTCCTCATCAAGTCTAGTTTATCCATACCAAATTGCAGTTAAAAACTCAATGAAGAAGACAGCCAAACAAATTCCTTCCAAAAACTGTGTTTTATATATGTATAAACAATGCATTTTTCTTTACCAATTTATTTGATTTTCTTTCAGATTTAATTTTTAGCTGAAACTTGGTATATGTAAATTAGACTTGATTAAGAACATGCCCAAAAAATTTCATCAACAAATTACACTGGGAAGAGCCTCTGATGGCCTTGGTTGGACGGCGAGTCCTATTAACCCGGCCTGACAGGATCGCTACTCTTATTTGATTTTAGATTCCTATCTTAGTATTTTTTTAAATAAAAACATAAAATAGGAATATTTATATGCAATTAAAATAAAATTGTTAATTACTCCCTCCGTCCCCTTAAGTTTGTCCCGTTTTACCTTTTTCATCCGTCCCACTAAGTTTGTCCCATACCATATTTGGTAACATTTGAGTGGTTAGAATTCATTCTTACTTTATTTATACTTTATCAATTCAATACCAACCACACAATTCTACTTTTTCTTAAAAACCACACCACACCCCTCCGTCCCAAACTTAGGGGGACGGAGGGAGTATTACATAAGGTCTTGATAAAGCCCTCGCATAAAGCCCTCACACAGTTTGGGACGTGCTTGCATACTACTTTCTCTTTCCTACTTTATCATTACTTTATTCTTCTTGATATATTCTCTTTCCTACTTCTTCATTTACCTTACACCTATATGCTACCCCTAATATTTTCTTCTTAAAAACCACAAAAAACCTAAGACTATTGTTTAAAAACGGTGGGAGTATTAATATTATGTTTTATACTTTAGGGCCTCTTATTCAATTTTGAGGCCGGCCCCAACTAAACTTTAACCAATTTGAGGCCCCAATGTTTGGTGGGGCCCGTTACTGTTACGTAGAACCGGTTTAGCATGTTCACCCGCCTTGACATTGTAACAAGAGGGGCACTCGCATGCCCTAAGCATAAGAAAATTGAATTTGTTGAGTATGTTCTATTTACATTTTAAAACTCAAGTGTTCAATACAATGGAGTATGTGCTTTTGAGACAAAATATGTTCATACAAAAGTTCGTATTTTAACTCTTTTGGAAACTCAATTAGATGCAAAGGCTCCACGCTCAACAGCAGCTCAAAATCACATGATGAAACAATCGCCCCTTCATAGTGCTTCTAGCTCTCATGTTTACATCAAGTCACAAAACAATGGAGGCAGTCAACACTCAACCTTCCGCTGTGGTATATGCTTTGACTACAAACCAAGCTCTAAAATGTTTAAAAATGGCAAGTGTAACCACTCCTTCTGTTCTACATGCATGGCAAAGTACGTGACCTCCCAAATAGACCAAAACATTGTGAAGGTCACCTGTCCACACCCTCATTGTCCCATGGAACAGAACCCCAAATCTTTGCACCCCATTTTGCCCCGGGAAGTGATTGACAAGTGGGACACGGCTATATGCGAGTCAACGATTTCGGCGTCTCAGAAGACTTACTGCCCCTTTAAGGACTGTTCGGTTATGCTGGTCGACGACGGGAGAGAAGTTGTGACCCGGTGTGAGTGCCCTTCTTGTCACAGGCTGTTTTGTGCGCAATGTAGGGTTCCTTGGCATGCAAGTGTAACCAGCTGTGAGGAATACCAAAGGATGAAGAAGAGGAGATATGTAGATCAAGACCTGGATAACAAGTTCTTTAACTTGGCCAAGGATAGCAAATGGCGAAAATGTCCCTATTGCAATATGTTTGTGCAGAGAGATGGAGGATGTGAACACATCTCTTGCAGGTTCTATTGCATGAGACTTCTTATATGAGTGAATATATAATTTGTAAAGTGGTTTAAATACATTAGCTCTGATTGTGTCTTTGTAGGTGTGGAGGTCACTTCTGCTATTATTGTGGGAAGAATTGGGCATCTGGACATATGTGTAACAGGGTGTAGCAGGGGAGACAAAATGGAGATTTTGGGTTCTGCCATCAGTTGTGTTTCATTGTTCATTTTTGTCCATGACTAGTTGGTTACTTTAATCCTTTCTTTTGTTTTCAACTATGAATTACTTGTCAATGACGGTCCTTCCCATCATTTATGTTGTGTTATGTGTGACACTTGAAATGAATACTCCGATCCCTCCGTCCTCTTTTAAATGTCTCGTTTTACTATATTGAGATGTCCCTATTTAAGGATGTTTTTACTTGGACTGTAATTTGTCCCAGACCAGACCAGTTCAGACCAGACCAGTTCAGACCAGACCAGACCAGACTTGGATAGTTATAAAAATACAAAGAAACCAGACCTTACCAGACCAGACCAGACCAGTTCAGACCAGACCAGACCAGACCAGCAAATTACAGTCCAAGTAAAAACATCCTAAATGTCGCATACCTTATTTGGTAAAGTTTGTGTGGCTCAAAATCATTCTTAGTTTATTCTTACTTTATCAATTAATATCAACCACACAAACCCATTTTTTTTAAAACCCGTGTCACCCTCCTCCGGGACATTTAAAAGGGGACGGAGGTAGTATATTATAAAATAATATAAGATTGCAATGTTGTTATTTTCTAAATAGGAGTGATTTTTACCAAGTTTGACATAACGAGCCTAACATGATATTTTTTTCCAAACTTGGCTGAAATTACTTCTATTTAGGGAATAAAAACATGAAAATCATATTTTGAAATTTCAAAACGTTTTTACTTCTATTCAGCGCAAAAACCTGACAAGAATATATTGATTTTTAAGAGAAAATTAACACTCATTTGACTAATATAAAGTCAAATGAGTGTTAATATAAAGTCTTTCCCATAATATGAGTATCTTTATATAATATAAAGTCTTTATATAATATAAAGTAGCAGAGTTGCTACAACTATTAGGGGAATTCCTGCCCAAAAAAGGGTAAATGTAAAAGTGTAATTTAGTTATACAAGGTAATACATCCAATTTAGTAATGAAAAATTTTCTCATTTGTTAAAAATAGTTGTTATAAATGTATGAATTTTTTATATAAAAAAATCTCTCGATCATTTGTTTTATTTGTATTAATTTTATATACTAATATAAAATATAAAAGTTGTAATTTGGTGCACGTTGTCCTTTATTTTTTGTTTTCCATATTTACTTATTTCTAACCTTGAAATATTTAACTATAAAAAAACCTTGAAATATTTCTTTTAGTATTTTGCTCAAGACATGTGGAATAAAAAAATTAAAGCTAGAGCCAAACTTTTGAATTAACCCATGTTTTCCTTTATTTTATAACAATGACAACAACGTTGCTCAAGTGCCGCAAGGCTTTCACCTATTGTAGGGCAAGAGGAGTCTAATGTACGCTACCTTACATATGTAGTAAAGTACAAAGAGATTGTTTTTGGATGACTCATGATAAAAATCGCATTGAAAATTGCATGAACTGATTATTGCATTATAACAAAGAAGCGCATACAGTTTTGTCAATCATTTTGCAATCTTCCATCATAATCCAAAGCTATAAAAATGAGTCTTTATTTTATAACTATAAATAATAATGATGGTATAAACTGTAAAGTACATATTGTGTAGGGATGTTTTTAGTTGGACAATTTTCTGTCTCAGACCAGACTAGATCAAACTTAAACAGACCGGACTAGACAAGACTTAAACAAACTAGACTAGACCAGACTTCCGTCATTATAAAATACACAGAGACCAGACATTTACCAGACCAGACTAGACCAGCCAATTACAGTCTAAGTAAAAACATCCTAAATATACACTACGAAAATTATTTTTTGCTTTCCTTTTTTTTTTATAAATGATTTATTTAAAATATTGGGTGAGAACTGATTAATAGTTAAAATTAGTAGTGTTTAAAAGAAAATTTATTTAAAAAGTAAAAGGTGTAGTGTTTAGCCCCAAAGTCTCAAATCAGATCAGAATAGACTAGACTTAAATAAACCATTTTAGACCATACTAGACTAAACTTAAATAAATGTGTTAGAGCAGTCAATTGCAAAATACACAAAAATAGACATCAACAAAACCAGATCAAACGGATTCAGACCAAGTAATATCATATAATTTCAGTCCACTTAAAATCATCAGAAACTACAACAATAATAACTAAAATATCACAACACATACCAATGGAATTAATATTTGTAATACTCAATGCATATCGAAATGTTTGCTACAATATAATTTGAAGTTAAGTAGTAAGGGTAACAAATATTAAAAAAAATACAAGAGATGGTGGAAATGTATGAAAGATAAGATGAAAATGTAGAAAAATTAATGACATTTGAGTATTTCAAAGAGAAAACTCACCAAAAAGGAAAATGTAGCAAAAATTAAAGGGAAAAGGTGCAAATAGGCCCATGTACTAACCAAAAAGGGTCAAATAAGCCCTTATTTAGGAGGCTTTGTCCGGCCGTCGCCATTTGGAGTGGTTCCCGGTGAAATTTTTTTATGATTGTTTTTGAGCATCTCATTCATGAAGTCTAGTTTGCTCATACAAAATTTCAGCTAAAACTTCAATCGGGAAGGCATTCAAAAGAATTCTTGAAGATAACTGCGCGGTTAGAAGCGCAGTTATCTTCAAGAATTCATTTGAATGCCTTTCCGATTGAAGTTTTAGCTGAAATTTGGTATGAGCAAACTAGACTTGATGAATCAGATGCTCAAAAAATTTCATCAAAAAATTACACCGGGAACCATCTCAAATGACGACGGCCGGACAGAACTTCCTAAATAAGGGCTTATTTGACCTTTTTTGGTTAGTACACGAGCCTATTTGTACCTTTTCCCAAAATTAAAATACACACCAAAAAGAAAAATGTCATTACCTTCTTTAAAATCATGCTCCTCACCTTTTTTACGGTGCTACTTAAGTAGTAAGTACTTAACTGGCAAGTAATTACGGAGTAAATAATATCCGGTGTGACCTATTCACTAATCACAATTACCAAAGAGATACAAGTTATTTGAACCGTTTCCATTGATGAACACACTCAACCAGAAACAATTAATGATCACGTACCGTGGGAAACATAGCAACACTATATATGAACAACAACCTTATTAACTTATGAACTTTATATATATATATATATGGAGTTGGTCAGACCTACAACTAGATCCATGTCCCTGAAGCGCAAGTACGACGTGGGTCAACCCCTTATGACAAGAGGAGAGTTCAACGAGTCACTTCTATCGGTAAACTATCTGAATCCAGGGATGGATTTAGGGGGCGCGGGGGCGACCGCCCCCTTTGGACATTCAAATTTTTTTACCATATATGTAATATTTTCATAAAACTTTCAAAATTTAATTAGATTCGCCCCCCTTAGCTTTTAATTTTCAAAGTTAGTATATAGTCTTACATAATGTAATACTTAATTGGAGATTTGAAAGAATAAACATCTAAAATAATTTACATAACTTAAACAAATAAACAATAGAGTAACTCGTTTGTTGGTCCAAAATAGGACGCTCGTAGGCTTTTAGAAAAGCTACGTAAGAACACTCAAGCAGGAAAATAAAAGGTAATACGAATAAGGAAAGTGCTAGGAGATTGAGTTGCCAGAAATGACTTCCCTATTATTTGAATCCAACTTGCCTTATATAGGCGATTACAAATGGTAACTGCCAAACGTTATAATGACTAATTTAATTACCATGTTAATACATAATTAATCACATAAATAAATATCGTATTAATGCCTGGCCGTTACTCTTCCCTGGTTGGCTGGCCGTTGCTCTTCCCTGGCTGGCAGGCTGGGCGCTCGGGCTCCCTGGGTGACAGGCTTCCGCTGGGCCGGAATCAGGCTCCTCGCTAGACCTAAGACGGGCTTCCGGTTGGGCCGGTAGGCAGGCCGTCTTGGGCTTCTGCTCCGCTGGACTTCCACTCCCTGATGGGCCCGGTCGGTTGGGTCGACGATATCTGATCGCTGGGTTCACTAGCTGGGCTTGCTTGGCGAGACAACAGTCGTGGGCTTGGGCCTGCTGATCCAAGTTTGGGGCCAAGTCTGATTGGACATTGGGCCTAGTCCCATAATCCCATCACGAGTCCCCCACTCCCTTAGTCGAGTAGTAGACTCGGCTAAGAGGGAGTAGTCTAAGTCAGCCGCCAATTAGAAAATATTCACATACCAGTGAGCAATAATTGGAGATTCTGTCAAATCCACAATTTATGGAAATTTTCCAATTTTAAATAAAGCTCTCAGCTTAAAAAGGCTTCAAATTAATTCTCACAGCATCTCAGCATTCCAACAGTCAGCTTTCTTCCAGACTTCAAAATCCAGGTCAGCTTTCGAAAATTCCTGAAATTCATCATTATTTTTTGTAATTATTTTCGGACTATATATCCCCCCCCTTTTTTCTTTTCCCCTTTTTTTCCTTTTCTTTTCTTTCCTTTTCTTTTCTTTTCTTTCCTTTTTTTTTCTTTCCTTTCTTTTCTCTTCTCTCTCCTGGTTCCCTGCGTGCGTCTTCCTCGCGTCGCCCCAGCGTAGCAGTCAACCAGGTCCAGCGCTGCAGACCGGCTGGCCGCCGTCCGTGATCCGGCGGCTCCACTGGGTCGGTCCCTGCTGCGCCAGGCGGCTGTCCCGCGCCGCCCACCGGTGACCGACGCCGCCCCGGCAGTCTGGCAAATCTGGCCGGCCGGTCCGGTCGAGCGAGCTGACCGCCGTTTTCCCTCCGGCAGCTCCACTGGGTCGGCCCCGCCGTGCTAGGCGGCTATTCCGCGCCGCCCACATGTGACCGACGCCGCCCTGGCAGTCCGACAAATCTGGCCGGCCGGTCTGGTCTCCTACCGCGTCCGGCTGGTGCGTCTCGCCCGGGCCGACGGCCACCCCTTGCTGGTCGGCGTCTACCAGAGGTTGGCGTCCCGGCTGGGCGCCCCTCTTGTCCATCTCTCCGGCGTTATGGCTTTCGCGCAGCGCCGCCGTCAGCCCCCCAAGGTTGGCCGACGCACGCGGCTTACCCCTCCGCCTTGCCGGGCTCTCCCACCAGCCGGCGGCTCTGCCGCAGTGTTCGACGGTGACAGGCCCAAATCGGTCGGGTCCCCACGTTAGTCCACGAGTCGTCCAGCGCCAAGGGGCCAGGCCGCCGCCGCCCTGCGCCTTGGTTCTGAAAATGACGGGCCAGGGTGAAGTCTCTATTACCC